TGTGTGGCGTGTGGGGTGCTGTATGTGTTGTGGTGTGTGGCGTGTGGTGTGCTGTGTGTGTTGTGGTGTGTGGCGTGTGGTGTGCTGTATGTGTTGTGGTGTGTGGTGTGTGGTGTGCTGTATGTGTTGTGGTGTGTGGCGTGTGGTGTGCTGTATGTGTTGTGGTGTGTGGCGTGTGGTGTGCTGTATGTATTGTGGTGTGTGGTGTGTGGTGTGCTGTATGTGTTGTGGTGTGTGGCGTGTGGTGTGCTGTGTGTGTTGTGGTGTGTGGCGTGTGGTGTGCTGTATGTGTTGTGGTGTGTGGCGTGTGGTGTGCTGTATGTGTTGTGGTGTGTGGCGTGTGGTGTGCTGTGTGTGTTGTGGTGTGTGGCGTGTGGTGTGCTGTATGTGTTGTGGCGTGTGGCGTGTGGTGCTGTATGTGTTGTGGTGTGTGGTGTGCTGTATGTGTTGTGGTGTGTGGCGTGTGGTGTGCTGTATGTTTGTGGTGTGTGGCGTGTGTGTGCTGTATGTGTTGTGGTGTGTGGCGTGCTGTATGTGTTGTGGTGTGTGGGTGTGGTGTGCTGTATGTGTTGTGGTGTGTGCGTGTGGTGTGCTGTATGTGTTGTGGTGTGTGGTGTGCTGTATGTGTTGTGGTGTGTGACGTGTGGTGTGCTGTATGTGTTGTGGTGTGTGCCGTGTGGTGTGCTGTATATGTTGTGGTGTGTGGTGTGCTATATGTGTTGTGGTGTGTGGCGTGTGGTGTGCTGTATGTGTTGTGGTGTGTGGTGTGCTGTATGTGTTGTGGTGTGGGCGTGTGGTGTGCTCTATGTGTTGTGGTGTGTGGCGTGTGGTGTGCTGTGTGTGTTGTGGTTGTGTGGCGTGTGGTGTGCTGTATGTGTTGTGGTGTTGTGGCGTGTGGTGTGCTGTGTGTGTTGTGGTGTGTGGCGTGTGGTGTGCTGTATGTGTTGTGGTGTGTGGCGTGTGGTGTGCTGTATGTGTTGTGGTGTGTGGGCGTGTGGTGTGCTGTGTTGTTGTGGTGTGTGGCGTGTGGTGTGCTGTATGTGTTTGTGGTGTGTGGTGTGTGGTGTGCTGTATGTGTTGTGGTGTGTGGCGTGTGGTGTGCTGTATGTGTTGTGGTGTGTGGCGTGTGGTGTGCTGTATGTATTGTGGTGTGTGGGTGTGTGGTGTGCTGTATGTGTTGTGGTGTGTGGCGTGTGGTGTGCTGTGTGTGTTGTGGTGTGTGGCGTGTGGTGTGCTGTATGTGTTGTGGTGTGTGGCGTGTGGTGTGCTGTATGTGTTGTGGTGTGTGGCGTGTGGTGTGCTGTGTGTGTTGTGGTGTGTGGCGTGTGGTGTGCTGTATGTGTTGTGGCGTGTGGCGTGTGGTGTGCTGTATGTGTTGTGGTGTGTGGTGTGCTGTATGTGTTGTGGTGTGTGGCGTGTGGTGTGCTGTATGTGTTGTGGTGTGTGGCGTGTGGTGTGCTGTATGTGTTGTGGTGTGTGGCGTGCTGTATGTGTTGTGGTGTGTGGTGTGTGGTGTGCTGTATGTGTTGTGGTGTGTGGCGTGTGGTGTGCTGTATGTGTTGTGGTGTGTGGTGTGCTGTATGTGTTGTGGTGTGTGACGTGTGGTGTGCTGTATGTGTTGTGGTGTGTGCCGTGTGGTGTGCTGTATATGTTGTGGTGTGTGGTGTGCTATATGTGTTGTGGTGTGTGGCGTGTGGTGTGCTGTATGTGTTGTGGTGTGTGCCGTGTGGTGTGCTGTATGTGTTGTGGTGTGTGGCGTGTGGTGTGCTGTATGTGTTGTGGTGTGTGGCGTGTGGTGTGCTGTATGTGTTGTGTGTGTGGCGTGTGGTGTGCTGTATGTGTTGTGGTGTGTGGCGTGTGGTGTGTTGTATGTGTTGTGGTGTGTGGCGTGTGGTGTGCTGTATGTGTTGTGGTGTGTGGCGTGTGGTGTGCTGTATGTGTTGTGGTGTGTGGCGTGTGGTGTGCTGTATGTGTTGTGGTGTGTGGCGTGTGGTGTGCTGTATGTGTTGTGGTGTGTGGCGTGCTGTATGTGTTGTGGTGTGTGGTGTGTGGTGTGCTGTATGTGTTGTGGTGTGTGGCGTGTGGTGTGCTGTATGTGTTGTGGTGTGTGGTGTGCTGTATGTGTTGTGGTGTGTGACGTGTGGTGTGCTGTATGTGTTGTGGTGTGTGCCGTGTGGTGTGCTGTATATGTTGTGGTGTGTGGTGTGCTATATGTGTTGTGGTGTGTGGCGTGTGGTGTGCTGTATGTGTTGTGGTGTGTGGTGTGCTGTATGTGTTGTGGTGTGTGGCGTGTGGTGTGCTCTATGTGTTGTGGTGTGTGGCGTGTGGTGTGCTGTGTGTGTTGTGGTGTGTGGCGTGTGGTGTGCTGTATGTGTTGTGGTGTGTGGCGTGTGGTGTGCTGTGTGTGTTGTGGTGTGTGGCGTGTGGTGTGCTGTATGTGTTGTGGTGTGTGGCGTGTGGTGTGCTGTATGTGTTGTGGTGTGTGGCGTGTGGTGTGCTGTGTGTGTTGTGGTGTGTGGCGTGTGGTGTGCTGTATGTGTTGTGGTGTGTGGTGTGTGGTGTGCTGTATGTGTTGTGGTGTGTGGCGTGTGGTGTGCTGTATGTGTTGTGGTGTGTGGCGTGTGGTGTGCTGTATGTATTGTGGTGTGTGGTGTGTGGTGTGCTGTATGTGTTGTGGTGTGTGGCGTGTGGTGTGCTGTGTGTGTTGTGGTGTGTGGCGTGTGGTGTGCTGTATGTGTTGTGGTGTGTGGCGTGTGGTGTGCTGTATGTGTTGTGGTGTGTGGCGTGTGGTGTGCTGTGTGTGTTGTGGTGTGTGGCGTGTGGTGTGCTGTATGTGTTGTGGCGTGTGGCGTGTGGTGTGCTGTATGTGTTGTGGTGTGTGGTGTGCTGTATGTGTTGTGGTGTGTGGCGTGTGGTGTGCTGTATGTGTTGTGGTGTGTGGCGTGTGGTGTGCTGTATGTGTTGTGGTGTGTGGCGTGCTGTATGTGTTGTGGTGTGTGGTGTGTGGTGTGCTGTATGTGTTGTGGTGTGTGGCGTGTGGTGTGCTGTATGTGTTGTGGTGTGTGGTGTGCTGTATGTGTTGTGGTGTGTGACGTGTGGTGTGCTGTATGTGTTGTGGTGTGTGCCGTGTGGTGTGCTGTATATGTTGTGGTGTGTGGTGTGCTATATGTGTTGTGGTGTGTGGCGTGTGGTGTGCTGTATGTGTTGTGGTGTGTGCCGTGTGGTGTGCTGTATGTGTTGTGGTGTGTGGCGTGTGGTGTGCTGTATGTGTTGTGGTGTGTGGCGTGTGGTGTGCTGTATGTGTTGTGGTGTGTGGCGTGTGGTGTGCTGTATGTGTTGTGGTGTGTGGCGTGTGGTGTGTTGTATGTGTTGTGGTGTGTGGCGTGTGGTGTGCTGTATGTGTTGTGGTGTGTGGCGTGTGGTGTGCTGTATGTGTTGTGGTGTGTGGCGTGTGGTGTGCTGTATGTGTTGTGGTGTGTGGCGTGTGGTGTGCTGTATGTGTTGTGGTGTGTGGCGTGTGGTGTGCTGTATGTGTTGTGGTCTGTAGCGTGTGGTGTGCTGTATGTGTTGTGGTGTGTGGCGTGTGGTGTGCTGTATGTGTTGTGGTGTGTGGCGTGTGGTGTGCTGTATGTGTTGTGTGGCGTGTGGTGTGCTGTGTTGTGGTGTGTGGCGTGTGGTGTGCTGTATGTGTTGTGGTGTGTGGTGTGCTGTATTTGTTGTGGTGTGTGGTGTGTGGTGTGCTGTATGTGTTGTGGTGTGTGGTGTGTGGTGTGCTGTATGTGTTGTGGTGTGTGGTGTGTGGTGTGCTGTATGTGTTGTGGTGTGTGGCGTGTGGTGTGCTGTATGTGTTGTGGTGTGTGGCGTGTGGTGTGCTGTATGTGTTGTGGTGTGTGGCGTGTGGTGTGCTGTGTTGTGGTGTGTGGCGTGTGGTGTGCTGTATGTGTTGTGGTGTGTGCCGTGTGGTGTGCTGTATGTGTTGTGGTGTGTGGCGTGTGGTGTGCTGTATGTGTTGTGGTGTGTGCCGTGTGGTGTGCTGTGTTGTGGTGTGTGGCGTGTGGTGTGCTGTATGTGTTGTGGTGTGCTATGTGCTATGCTGTGTTTGCACGGTGCCACTTGGTGTGACGTGTAACACAGTGTGGCGTCACGTGATGCGTCGGTGCCACGTGTGTGGTTTGTGATGGGCGCAGCAGTGCAGTGGGAGTGCAAAGCGCTACGAACATGGCGGCCCGAGTTCGATTCCCGCTCATGGCCAACGCATACCGTGTCAACCCACACGGTTTACCCCGTAACCTTGTACAGGGAAATTTAGTTTTCAGGTCCATGTGGCGTTACAGCCGTTGAATTACGGACAACAACATTGATTTTGTCTGTTTGTGTTTCTCCCTCGTGATGGGACTTTGTAGGATGAACGTTGAGATGTATAATGGGCACGGGGTGACCACTAAGGGGTGAATTGGTCTGTAATAAGGTAGGGCACTGATAAGGGTTTGACAGGTATGCCAACGCCAGTGACGATTATCTAAACCAGTTCCTGTGCCTCCCCTGGGTCGGCTGAGCCATAAATGAGTACCTGGTGGTGTGTGTAAACATCAGCACTGGGGAGACAAAGGCGGCCGGGCGTGGTGCTGGCCACCCACCTCCTCGTGTGCCGTTCCGCCTCCATAGGCGCTACTCGCTGACAGCACTTGCCCCGAACAGCCTGTTGTAGGCTTCACGCTGTGAGCAATGTTGCTTAATGTGGTGTAACGCGTGGGGTGCTGCTGTGTGCTGCGGTGTGGTGCGTGTGATGCAGTGTGCTGCGGTGTGGTGTAACGCGTGGTGTAACGCGTGGTGCGGTGTGGTGTAACGCACGGGGTGGTGCGGTGTGGTGAAATGTGCTGCGGTGTGGTGTAACGCGTGGTGTAACGCGTGGTGCGGTGTGGTGCAGTGTGCTGCGGTGTGGTGTAACGTGCGGTGTGGTGTAACGCGTGGTGTACCGTGCGGTGCGGTGTGGTGTGGTGTAGGGGTGCTGGGCGAGACGGCCCTCCACGTGGCCGTGCAGTGCGAGAACCTGGGCGCGGCGCTCGCCCTCCTGGACGCGGAGCCCACGCTCATCAACGAGCCCATGACCTCCGACCTCTACCGGGGTAACGAGCGCTGCGTGAAGTTCGCGACCGCGAGACGACACCGGCGTCCGGGTCGCGCGCAAGGGGAACGCGGCCGCCACGCGTGGCCCTCCACGGCGAGGGGGTCACGGGCGAGCTCCGCGGTATGCGAGCGACCGCGGGCTGCGCCACGCATGGGGCGAGAAGAGCCCAAGGGATCCCACGGGGGCATTGGTGGTGCGGTGCCGCACGTGCCCGGGGCAGTGTGTGGAGGAGGCACGTGAAGGACGCTGCTGGGCAGTTGGGGGCAGTCGCCCTCCAGCAACAACGGAGGGCAAAAGGAGCGACGCTCACAACAACGAGTGGAGCGCCGGGTGGCTAAAATGCAGCAAGTTTCACAGTAGGGAGCACAAGTGGTGCATCAGCCAGTCACCTCAGTCATCTCAGTCAGTCGACCCGTGGCACCTGCTCCTGCCAGCGGGCGTTCGACACTTTACGTGGCCTCAACGTGCACATGGCCTGGCACAAGCCTCGTGGTGACGTCACCACCACTTAGTGGCGAGTAGCGGTTGTTGTTGCCACAGGGAGCTAGGCAGTGCCACAGTGGCACACACACAGAGCTACTATGAAGAGGGGTGGGGGGGGGGTCATGGTCAATCACGCGACACCACTGTGGACCACGATCCAGCCTGGCTACAAACAACATTGTTGTCAGGCCATGGTCATCAGGAAGCCGTAGTGGCTCGGATTACGCGCACTGCCAGATGGCCGAGATGGAGCTCTTCGATGAACGCGGCGGGCGCGCGCCTGAAAGCACCGCGGCCGCCTGCGACGCTCAAATTAAATCGCCTAAAAAGTGGCGCTGGCTGGCCGGCGAGATGAAGGGTGGGGGGAGGGAGTGAACGCCGGTTTATATTTTATTTTGCGCGCAACTGAGCGAAAGTGGCCAAACCGAGGGAGGGAGGGAGCACTTGGGACGATTTCCCCCCCTGCCGCTGGTTTATTGTCAGCAGGGCCGGATTCAGGCGCAGGTGCTTTCGGGCCTCCGCCAGCTGGAAGTCCTCCAGAGATGAAGTGAAAAGTTGTTTCATTTGTGAATGCTGACTTTTATTTGTTGTTAGCCTTGTAAAAAGTATTATTACATTTTTCTTTAACCGTTTTCCTTTGGAAAATATTACTGGGGGCCTCACAGTACCTGTAGCCTGGGGCCTTCAACATCTTCATCCAGCCCTGGTTGTCGAGCCCGGCACATGGTAGTCACGCGCTGTGGGTCTCTCTATCACTCGACAAGGAAGGGGAGAATGAGGCCCCCCCCAGGGCACCTCCACCCCACCTTCTCTCTCTCTCACTTGGGTTGCAGCGAAACGCAACGGGAGGAATGTGCAGCAGGTCAGCAGTGACGGTGGCTCAGAGATGTTAACTACCTCGCTGGGTATACAGGAGGTCGTGGGTTCGATCCCGACCCTGACGGCTGCTGCTGTATATTTGGAGTTTGCGTCTCTCTCTCTCTCTCCCCGTTTTTTCCCTCCACATTTAGTAATCAACATCACGCGTTTAGAGTATTTGGCTGCGATACATGTCCACGTGATGATGAGCCACTTCGTTGAGCTATCATTCTCAGTGGGCCTTACATGGTAGAATACAACATTGTTTATAGGAATAGTTTAGTTTATCAGAGGCAGCGGACGGTGCTGGACATCCCACCACAGGCAATTTCGTAATGCGCACTTGCCGTGCCGTGCGCGCATCAGCGTTGCGGGAATTGGAGAACAATAAAAAAAACACTTTCAGAAATAATCAGGGGACAAACGCGACAACGACTCTACACGGATGAGTGACAAAGGGTGAGCGGTGTTACGGGCTGGCACGCATGGTGCCGGAAGGAGGTGCAGAAAGCTCCAGAGGATGTGGCAGGACATCCTGACCGCCGTTGTCTCGCGAACCCCTCGGCGGCCGCGGCGTGAATGACAAATGACGGCGCGTCGGCGTTGGGTGAGCCGCAGCGAGGGAGCGGGATCGCGTGGCGACCGCGGAGCATCGACGATGAGTAGTGCGGGCGGCGGGCATGGGCGCCGGTGCACGCAAGTAAACGGGGGGTGCCACCTGCCAAATTCCCCGCTCCGTTGTGGTGCCTGAACCTCTTCAGCCCAGGGGCCCCGGTGTAGCCACACCGGCCCGCACACTCGGCAGCCGCACCCCCCGTGCAGCCGTGAAGCCGTCGGCTGCATCACAATCGGCCAACGTCGCCTCTCCCGCCCCCCGGTCCGTGCAGGTCAGACGGCGCTGCACATCGCCGTGCTCAACCAGAACGTGAACCTGGTGCAGGAGCTGCTGCTACGCGGGGCGGACGCGGAGTCGTCGCGCACCACCGGCTCCTACTTCACCGGCAAACACCGCAAGCACACGCACTACGGTACAGCCGCAGTACGCCGTGCCGACTATGGCACCGTGGCGCGGCGATGGTAGCGACGCAGTCCGGCGACGCTATGACCGCACGACAGAGGGTTGGTCACGGCTGCGTTGATGCCGAGGTACCGAGAGAGGTAGTGGAGCCAAAGTCGTGGGGTTCAGGTCACGTTTCCATGAAAATGAACTTGACTAAACACAGCATCAGTTGCAAAGATTATTAAGATCTGAAATACTAAGATTATGATCTCACAGTACGTGAGATCACAGGATAATGTGAGATCACGGTGACCCCAATGATTCTGTACGGATCGGAGTACTCTGCTCTGAGGAACGCTACCGAGCACACGGTCCTATCTGGAGAGACGTGCCGGCTGAGGTGAAATCCCGGTGCCATGAACTTACAACAAAATGTGAAAACAATAAATAATGCCTTAAACAACGACTTCAAAAAATAAGATTGATGACACCACCCGGCACTGTTCACTCTCGTCGCAGGGCTGAGTTTTGATATCGATGAGGCCATAGCTGAGGCTATTTTTGGGAGCAACGCAAGCATGGGATCAGCAGACTCCCGTGCTCACTGCGGTTTCACCCGACATTTTATACCCTGCCCTGATAGAGAGGAGATTGGCCAAAGAGAAATTTAAAGCAGGGTTGGATACCTATGGGCCAGGGGCCATAGACTTGGGCGCCACAGTGGCTAGGAGATGTTAACTACCTCGCCTGGTATACAGGAGGTCGTGGGTTTGATCCCGACCCAGACGCCTGCTGTATATTTGGAGTTTGCGTCTCTCTCTCTAATCATTATCATCATCATGGTGGCTAGGAGATGTTAAATACTTCGCCTGGTATACAGGAGGTCGTGGGTTCGATCCCGACTCTGACCGTGTGCTGCTGTATATTTGGAGTTTGCGTCTCTCTCTCATCATTAGCATCATCATGGTGACTAGGAGATGCTAACTACCTCGTCTGGTATACAGGAGTGGAGCCTTACCTGGTAGTTTTACAATTTAGTTAGGACTTAATGTCATACACGCCCTGCGGCCACACGAGGCCTACTACCTTGAAACATCCCACAACCGACGTTCACCCGCCACCCTAAAATGTCTCTCGGCCACGCTGATCGGGCACGTGGAAGGGGGGACATTTTTCCACCCGACTCATTGGTGTTCCGAGCATGGCCATAAGTGCCACGTGATCGGCGCCTCTCGGCAAGGAATCGCCAGACTGTGGGATACGTCAACTGCGGCACGTTTTGTTGGTGAAAATGTAAACTTTTGATTACAAAAAAGTGCAAAGCCAGCGCACGTGAGGAGTGGGGGGCGAGTGCATGGTGTGTGCTGCGCGTGCTGTGTGCCCCCCACTCCCTCCCCCCCCGGGCCCCCCAGGCGAGTACGTGCTGTCGTTCGCCGCAAGCACGGGGAACCTGGAGCTGGTGCGACTGCTCCTGCAGCACGGGGCCAGGGTCAGCGCGCAGGACTCCCGCGGTGAGCGCCGCACCTCCTCGGTCGGCCAGTCCCACGACGCGTGCTTTCTCACCGCACGTGGGACAGGCGAAGGCGGTCGCAGCACTCGCCCCCATGCGCGGTCCTCTTCCCAGAGTTGGCGGCGAGGAGCGCCTCTCCTCCCGCCGCCTTTCTGCCCTTTGGCAGTCTCGCCGCATCGTGAATCATCGGGAACCGCGTGCCCGCGCACACCCCTCGGTGTGCGAGAGACGAGCAGCGTCTCGGCGCCTCAATGCCTCATCGCCACCCCCCACCCCACCCAAATGTGCGCTCCCCCGGCACGCAGGCAACACGGTCCTCCACACGCTGGTGCTCCAGACGAACCGCATCATCGCTTGCCAGATGTACGACTTCATCCTGGCGAGCACGCAGTGGGGCGAGGGCGATGTTTGCCCCGAGTCGATTCTCAACCACCGCGGCTACACCCCGCTCAAGCTCGCCGCGGCCAAGGGCAACGTGGTGGTGAGTCTCACACTTGGATGGCGGGTGGCGGCGTCTCTCCGCTGTGCCATCTTCAGTTCCGGCGGCTTTGACCCGAGACGTTCGACGCCCGATGTTGACAGATGTTCCAGCACCTGGTGAAGCGTCGCAGAGTGGTGCAGTGGTCGCTGGGCACCGTGACGTCCACCCTGTATGACCTCAGCGAAATCGACTCGTGGGAGGACGATCGCTCGGTGCTGGAGATCATCACCACGAGCCACAAGCGCGAGGTCTGATAGCGCGCGCCGCCTTGCGCCACCACCGCCACCACCACCTTGCACCACCACCACTGCCACCTTGCACCACCACCACCTTGCACCACCGTCACCACCTTGCACCACCACTACCGCCACCATCACCACCACCTTGCACCACCGTCACCACCTTGCACCACCACCACCGCCACCACCACCACCTTGCACCACCGCCACCACCACCTTGCACCACCGTCACCACCTTGCACCACCACCACCGCCACCACCACCACCACCTTGCACCACCGCCACCAACTTGCACCACCACCATCTTGCACCACCACCACCACCACCTTGCACCACCACCACTGCCACCTTGCACCACCACCATCTTGCACCACCACCACCACCTTGCACCACCGTCACCACCTTGCACTACCACTACCGCCACCACCACCACCTTGCTCCACCACCACTGCCACCTTGCACCACCACCATCTTGCACCACCACCACCACCTTGCACCACCGTCACCACCTTGCGCTACCACTACCGCCACCACCACCACCTTGCACCACCACCACTGCCACCTTGCACCACCACCATCTTGCACCACCGTCACCACCTTGCATCTCCGCCACCACCTTGCACTACCACTACCGCCACCACCACCACCACCTTGCACCACCGTCACCACCTTGCACCACCACCACCGCCACCACCACCACCTTGCACCACCGTCACCAACTTGCACCACCACCACCTTGCACCACCACCACCACCACCTTGCACCACCACCACCTTGCACCACCGCCACCACCACCACCACCTTGCACCACCGCCACCACCTTGCACCACCACCACCACCTTGCACCACCACCACCTTGCACCACCACCACCACCACCTTGCACCACCGTCACCACCTTGCACCACCACCACCGCCACCACCACCGTGCTTCTTTCTCAGAGAGGCACCGACCGCCACGTGCTCACGTGATGTGTTTGTGCAATTTGTACTTTTATACTTTATTTACAATTATTATTTTTTGTGACTTGCTTGGCTTCCCTATACTTTTCGGTTTTTGTATCGTTTCTTGCTGAAATTCTCTGACCTGCCCCTACCGGACAAAACGAGCTTCACAGCTCATGGGATTCTTCCAGTCTCAATAAAGGTTCTGAGCTGGTGCTGGGCTAAACGTCCAACAATGCCGGCAACTTGCTGACGACGGGGTCAAATTGCTTTGCCACCCCTCAGGCTCGCCAGATCCTGGAGGTGACCCCCGTGAAGGAGCTGATCAACATCAAGTGGACGCGGTACGGGCGGCGCTACTTCCGCATGTGGACCATGCTCTACATGGTCTACATCATCAGCTTCTCGCTCGCCTGCATCTACCGGCCCCTAATGATGCGCACAGACAACGCCACGGACCCACGCGACGACGTCATCCTCGTCCAGAAACCCCTGTCCGTACGTGCCAACTTCACCCATCGCTTGGGGCGGGGGAGGTGGGGGGGTCAGTTAAGCTTAATTTTGCAATCATCCCTATTTTGAGCCCCACTGAGTCTGTTCCACTCTTAACACAGTAAACCTGCAGCTGTTGCAATGGGGGAGAGGGTGGGGGGTTCACACAGAGGTCCACGATTTGTTATCTCAGGCATTAATTTGTACCAAACCGGCTGAATCGGCGGATGCCAGACGATACCATCGCCACGGTATCGGCTGTCAGCCGCCTTTGCATTTTTGGCTCCCGTTTGAGTTGTTATGAAAAGCCCTCTCGCTCTCTCTGCTCGAGGGTTTCCGTGGACCCTGACAGGTGGCGAAAAAATAACCCACCGGGGTGAGTTTTTGCAACCGGTTTCTTAGCCGCACGTTATTCGGGAGTTGGTTGATTTTTTTTCTCTTTTTTCTTGTTTTTTGGCTGACAACTCGGCACGGTGGCCCAAACCGGTCCCAGCCGGCAGGTCCTACTGACGCAACGTTCGCGCCTGTTGCACTCCTGACCTGACACACGACGCGCGACATTTGCAAAACATTTTTATTTATTTTTTACGAAAAGACGCCAAAAGGTGTTGTGTTGTTGGCCTCTCTTTTTGGTGAATGATGCCAACAACACAGAGCACAGCAGAACCCCTCGTAACGTCTACATCGCTCAACGACGGGCCTCCGTAGAGCCAAATGTGCAGTGTATAGTGTAGTGTATAGTGGTGTAGTGTATAGTAGTGTAGTGAGTAGTAGTGTAGTGAGTAGTAGTGTAGTGTACAGTGTAGTGTATAGTAGTGTAGTGTATAGTAGTGTAGTGCGTAGTAGTGTAGTGTACAGTGTAGTGTATAGTAGTGTAGTGTATAGCAGTGTAGTGAGTAGTAGTGTAGTGAGTAGTAGTGTAGTGTATAGTGTAGTGTATAGTAGTGTAGTGTATAGTAGTGTAGTGTATAGTAGTGTAGTGTATAGTAGTGTAGTGAGTAGTGTAGTGTATAGTGTAGTGTATAGTGTAGTGTATAGAAGTGTAGTGTATAGTAGTGTAGTGTATAGTAGTGTAGTGTATAGTAGTGTAGTGTATAGTAGTGTAGTGTATAGTAGTGTATAAGAGTGTAGAGTAGTGTAGTGTATAGTGTAGTGTGTAGTAGTGTATAGTATTGTAGGTTAGTGTATAGTAGTGTAGTGTATTGTAGTGTATAGTGTAGTGTATAGTAGTGTAGTGTATAATAACGTAGTGTATAGTAGTGTATAGTGTAGTAGTGTATAGTAGTGTAGTGTATAGTAGTGTATAAGAGTGTGGTGTAGAGTAGTGTAGTGTGTAGTAGAGTAGTGTATAGTATTTTAGTGTATAGTGTAGTGTATAGTAGTGTAGTGTATTGTAGTGTATAGTAGTGTTAAGAGGGCTTCTACTCTATGACTTTAATAAGTCCTCGGTAAACTGCTGTGGTTGTAGTTTTTTTGACGAGTCGCAGTTATAAATCAGAATCAGAATCTAACTTATCCCTGGAGAAATCCGATCAGCTATAAAGCTCTTTTTCCCCCAGTGAGATGTTAGAGTAGAGGGGCGCGGGGTCAGAAAGTTGCAAGAACGAACGATGCAAAAATAACGATCGGAGTGCAAAGTATAGGACACGTGAGCAAGTCACTAAACATAAATACGTCAAATAGATAAAAGTGTTTAAGTGTATCGTGGGTAATTACACCGATTACCACTCTCAGGCAAGGCAGCAAATCAACAGACAACACACGGTCCCGATAGAGATGTGCACGTCAAACAATTGAACAATCGATGCTGCACGGGCGAGACGTGAAATTCACAAATCGCATTTTGCAAACGCGGTTGTTATCGCCAGCACCAAATCGCGTGCTTCTCGACATTCTTTGGAGGGAGGCGTCGCGACGTTAGAGGGAGGAAGCGTGTCGGAGTGGCTCCGACGTGCCGGGCGTCTGGCTGCCACGGCACGCCACGTCTCCAGGTGGCGGCGGGTGCTGCCCGGCTGAGTCACAGACCCCCCCCCCCCCCGCGAAGGGCATCGTGCCTTTAACGCAGCCATCACGCCGGCACCTGGGGGTGGGCATAGCCATCCAGGGTGCCAGGTGGTGGCAACTCCCGGCAGGGTCCGTCGGCTGGTGGTGCTCGAGGTGCCGGGTTGTGAAGAGGTCGTGGGCGGCGTGAGGGGGGGGGTTGGACCAAGGCAGATTTCCTACTCCGTTCCGTGCAGCAGAGCCTGTGCCATCTGAGCAACGAGCTGGGAAACTGCCTCTCGGGAGTAGATGGCGTGGTCCGAGCGAGCCGAGTGCGTGATTTGAATCACCAAGTAAAAGACTTAGAAGATAGAAACCATTCATAGTTGAACATTATCGAGAGCAAATAGGCGACGATAAACTGCAGTGCAGTGGGACAGAGCGAATCTACCCGGCGTCATTCTCGTGACACGACCGAGATTTTTGTCCCACCGTTGGCGACCTTCAGCATCTATTCGCAATCAGCCACTGCCACCGGCAAGAGCCCCCCACGTCGCCGAACGTCTCCAGCCAACTCGCAGCCTTCACTCGTCACCTCGCACCTCACACCCCCACCCCTCTCCATAGCCCAGCGCCACGTGTCCCTTGGTCCGTTTTCCCAAGTGCAGTCGCACCAACAACAACAACCGCCATTCACCACTAAGTGGCGGTGACCTCCCCACGGAGCCTGTTCCAGGCTGTGTGCACCTTAAGGTCACGTGAAGTGTCGAAGGCTCGGAGGTCGCGGGACAGATCCAGGTGCCGTGGGTTGACTGACCGAGGTGACAGGCCGATGCGGCCTCTGCGCAGTTGCACCACACCTACACGCGGAGCAGCAGCAGCAGCAGGCCACTCCTGCCGACCGCTTTGTGTGTAGGGCAAGCTCAGGTCTCAGATGTTGCCTGGACATTGTACACAAGACCAAGTGGAGCAGTGGCTACCATTGGCAAGTGAGCGAATTATATTGGCGAGTGACATTGCCCCGATCGTTTTGATGGACGCACCGTGCCCCCCCCCCCCCCATCCGTGTGCCTGGCCGTGCAGGAGAGCTACCAAACACAGCTGGACTTTGTGCGTCTCGGGGGTGAGATCATAAGCATCCTGGGGGCCATCACCATCCTCCTGCTGGAGGTGAGAGGGGCCCTGCGGCCGCCGCGTCCAGCCCGTCCAGTGTCACTCACGCTCCGTACTCCCGAGTATCTCTGTCGTTGCCCACGTTTCTCAGCGCACCGCGGTGGCGATGCGTTAACTATCTCGCCTGGAGGTCGTGGGTTTTGGGTCTCTCTCTATCGCTCGCAAAGGAAGGGGGGAGCGAGGGGGGGGGATCCCCCCCCCCCCCCCCCACCTATCACCCCACCCTCTCTCTCTCTTTGCCGAGCGGCAAACGCTGCCCTTGGGTTGCGGCGAAACGCAAGAGGAATGTGCAGCAGGTCAGCAGCCACGGTGGCTCGGAGATGTTAGCTACCTCGCCGGGTATACAGGAGGTTGTGGCTTAATTTGGAGCTTTCGTGACTGCAGGAATTACTCTTTGGTTCTTTCGGTAAAGTCACGTATCAAGAGAAAATAATAAATTAAATACTAGCATACGACGTTTCGATTGAAACACAAGCAATCATCATCAGGTATAAATGAAATAGAAACACAAATCTAATATACTATATTGTGGGTTCAATCCAAACCCTGACGCCTGCTTCTCCTCGTGGTAATAAAACCCTGACGCCTGCTTCTCCTCGTGGTCGCGTGGATTTTTCTCCAGGTCCTCCGGTTTTTCCCTCCACATTTAGAATGAACATCACCACGCGTTTAGAGTATTTGGCTGCGATACTTTTCCATGCGGTGAGCCACTTCGTTGAGCCATCATCCGTGGCCAGGTCGCTTCTGAAAAAAGAGCTACAGGGCTCAGTGGGCCTTGCCTGGTGAAATAAAAAAAGTTGAGTTTTTAGTTTAGTTCAGTAAGCATGCTTACTTCTAAACGCGTGCGGAACGCTCCCCTCCGTTCCCTTCCGCCAGTTATCGCGCCGTGGCCGATGACGAGGCTGCGGTGTCTCATTCCGCGGCTTATTCTTGTTTTTTCTGCCACGGTGATCGCTCTCTTCCGTAGACCCACGCGCATGCCGCCAGTCAGACCCTGCTTGCGTGGACGGCCATTGCGCCGAGTGGCAACCCCTGACACGAGAACACTTCAGATAAAGGCGCAGCTGGGCTTGATCCTGGGGGGAGGGGGAGGAGGGAGGCATGCATCTATCCCAGCGTCCACTGCAATTTTTCATAAACTTGCTGCCATCATTGGCCACGTCCTCTCACCCTGCAACCCCCCCCCCGCCCCCCATAAAAAAGCCTCTCTCCACTTTGGCGGACTCCACAATCGCGGCGACGGAACGGGGGTTTCGCGTGTATATGTCTCTCCGTGTGTGGAATCGACCGGCACGTGATCTGTAAACAACAACAACAACAACAAAACGCTTGAACCGACTGCTTTTGTCGTTGTTGCAAGCAAAAAAAACGAACTCCGTGTCTCTGCCAAAAGTGATGGAGAGACAGCCAACGCATCTGCCCACGAATAGCCCCCCCCCTACCCCCCCCCCCCTTTTTACTTCCCTTCATTTCCGCACCGAACTGTTGCCTTACACCAGGGGTCCTCAAACTACGGCCCGCGGGCCACATGCGGCCCGCCGAGGACATTTATCCGGCCCGCCGGGTGTTTTTGCCGCTGCTGCCTGTCTGTTACTTTTTTTATACATGAGATGGATGGTCATTGGTGGAAGAGGGAGAGGGGGCGGAGTTCCCCCCAATCAGACTGCATTGATGGGCAGTGCAGTCTGTGTCTCTGTGTGGGCATCGTTATTGCTGGTATATTGTTTTTGTAGCGCTGTATATATATTGGTATTTTACTAATAGCAATTTTGACTCCCTAGGAAACAATGATGTCAAGAAAGAGAAAAATTGACTCGGAGTGTAGGATATTCAAAGAACAGTGGACTTATGATTACTTTTTCATGCAGTACAAGGAAAGAGCTGTGTGTCTGATATGCCAGAATATAGTGTCTGTGTTCAAAGAATACAATTTACGTCGACACTATGAAACTCAACATAAAGATACATATGATTGTTTGGTCGGAGAAGTGAGAAAAGATAAAATATTAAAACTGAAAAATACATTAACAACTCAGCAAAATACTTGTGAAGCAGAAGCAGCTAAATATTTCATCACTGCGAGCAAGTTTTCAAGTTGCCAAGCTAATAGCGTGCACTGGCAGACCATTCGTGGAGGGAGAATTTGTTAAAGAATGCCTTCTTTCTGTTGCTAAAGAGATGTGTCCAGAGAAGGCCGATTTATTTAGTACAGTGAGTCTTTCAGGACCTACAATTACACGGAGGATTGAAGAAATGGGAGACAATTTGCATCAGCATTTGCAAAACTCCACAAAAAAATTTCCTATTTTTCCTTGGCACTCGACGAAAGCAATGATGTTCGTGATTCTGCACAACTTCTAATTTTTATTCGTGGGACGAATGACTATTTCGAAGTCACAGAAGAGCTTGCTGCACTGCAAAGCATCAAAGGAACAACTACAGGAGAGGATATTTTTCGATTTAAAGCTTTCGTGACTGCAGGGATTCATCTTCTTGGTTCTTTCGGTAAAGTCACATAGAAAGGAAGTAATAAAATAATAAAAGTAAAACAAAATAATTCTCACGACGTTTCGGCCACAACGCAAGCAGCCGTCCTCAGGTGAAAACCAGGTCTGTCGGGGAGACAGCGTCTGAATGAAACGGCACACGAGCTTGGAGCCCGTGCTGCATATGTAGTACTAATAACATTCCTGCATTTCCCATAAATATGCTAAATTCCTCTTGATATGCAAATTATTGTCAAGGCGCTCTTTCCCCCGTTTCCAACCCAGCTTATATATGCTCCAAGCTCGTGTGCTGTTTCATTCAGACGCTGTCTCCCCGACAGACCTGGTTTTCACCGGAGGACGGCTGCTTGCGTTGTGGCCGAAACGTCGTGAGAATTATTTTATTATGTTTTATTTTTATTATTTTATTACTTCCCTTCTACGTGACTTTACCGAAAGAACCAAGAAGAGAGGATATCTATGAAAAGGTTTGCCAAACTGTGAATGATTTGGAGCTGAACTGGGCTAAACTAGCCAGTGTGACAACTGATGGTGCTCCTAGCATGGTGGGGTCTAAGAAAGGAGTAATTGCTCGCATTAACCAAGAGATGGACAAACATAACCATTCTCATCCAATAGCCATACACTGCCTCATCCACCAACAAGCGCTGTGTAGTAAATCACTGAAGTGGGACTCTGTTATGAAATTTGTGGTATCTTGTGTTAACTTCATTAGAGCTCATGCACTAAAACACAGACAATTTCAGGAATTTCTGTCCGAGCTAAATGTTGACTATGAAGATGTTCTGTATCACACAGAAGTCCGTTGGCTGAGTCGAGGGAGAGTTTTGAAACGTTTCTATGACTTACTTCCACAGATTACAGCTTTTCTGCTTTAAAAAAACAAAGAAGTACCAGAGCTCAATGATGCAGAATGGAAATGGCACCTTGCCTTTCTGACAGATGTAACAGAGCTACTCAACAGTTTCAATGTGCAACTTCAAGGAAAGGGGAAGCTCATCTGTGATATGCAATCACATGTCAAAGCATTTGAAGTAAAATTAGGCCTCCTCATCAAACAAGTGAAGGAGGAAAACTTCTGCCATCTCCCTACAACTCAAAATCTGTTAGCGGAAAAACCATTGGTTGCATTCCCAAACAAAACATGTGTGGATTCACTGGAAAAATTGCAAAAGGAGTTCCAATTTGGATTTAAAGAGCTTCATCTCCATGAACAGGACATACAGCTTTTCCGCAACCCATTTTCTATTGACATTGAAAATGTGGATACAATTTACCAAATGGAACTGGCTGAACTGCAGAATTGTGACTCTCTGAAAGACGCATTCAAGTCAAGCAGCCTTCATAATTTCTATGCATCTCTCCCCTCTGAGACATATCCTCATCTCAGGAACCATGCACTCAAAATGGCAACCATCTTTGGCAGCACTTATGTCTGTGAACAGACTTTTTCCAGAATGAAACATTTGAAATCTCCAACCAGATCTAGACTAACGGATGCACACTTGCATAAACTTGTTACGACTAGCAGTGTCAAATATGGAACCGGACATTGACCATCTCATTAGCCAAAAGCAGGCCCATAGTTCCCATTGAAATACTGGCAAGTTTGTTGATTTAACTTTACTTGTTCTTCATTTTAAATATTGTATTTGTTCCCGTTTTGTTTCTTCACTTCAAAATAAGATATATGCAGTGTGCATAGGAATTTGTTCATAGTTTTTTTTAACTATAGTCCGGCCCTCCAACGGTCTGAGGGACAGTGAACTGGCCCCCTGTTTAAAAAGTTTGAGGACCCCTGCCTTACACCGATGACATCTCTCGCCGGCTCAGATGGTGCACGAATTGCATAATTCCGAGAATAAACAAATGTGGCTTATTTCGCGATTTCTATCCAGAATTTACACACGAGAGTACACACACAGGGTGTGGCCAATCTACATCGTACATCTACGGTTCACAAAACAACAAAACAAAGATCCCCCTTATAGCCTGAGCAGACTGTTGGGGCAAGTGCTGTTAGCGAGCACCTATGAAGGCCGGAACGGTACACGAGGGGGTGGGTGGCCAGCACCGCGCCCAGCCGCCTTTGTCTCCCCAGTGGCGATGTTTTTACGCACCACACCAGGTACTTATTTAAGGCTGAGTCGACATTGGGGAGGCCCATGACCGGTTAAGATAATCGTCACCGGTGTTGGCCGTGAGCGGGAATCGAACTCGGGTCGCCGGGTTTGTAGTGCAGTGCACTAACCATTGCGAAGTATGGTTCATACACACACACAAGCATCAGTACAGGCCCATGTCATATCGAGTGTATTTTAAAGTTTTACAACTCAGGTTGAAAGCATTTAGAGCTCAGCTCTCTGGTCCATCTGTATGTAACAGGGGAGTCACCGCAACTCTCGTGAAAATGTCAATGAACCTGCAGTGTAAAGTTTCATTGCTTTGAGGAACATTTAGCCAGTTAAATGCTGGACCAGTTGAATGAATGGTTGCCCAAAGTTGGAAAAAAGCTATCGCGGGAAAAGGACTACGCATATATAAATACATATATAAATAAAAAAACAGCTTTGACAGCTAGCCCGTCAGCTGACATGCTGCCAATGAGATACATTAGAGGAGCGAACGCATGTTGCCGCGTCATTACGACATCCGTGGGCAGGCGTGTGATTTATTTCCCCCCTGTTTATGGCTGTGCGTGTTTCCTGTGCCCTCACTTAGATCCCGGACATGATCCGCATCGGGTTCTCGCGCTACTTCGGAAACATTGTGACCGGAGGGCCTTTCCACATCATCATGTGAGACCCCCCCCCCCCCGGCACCTTCACGCGTCTCGCACGCACACGAAAAGCGCGCACAAAGATCCCGTGGGGGGAGAGGGGACGATGTCCCCCCGGTGCATCTCAACCCCCCTCACCCCCCCCCCCCGCCCTTTGCACTTTTCTGCCCCTGGAGCGGCCCACGTTGCTGTCACCACACGGCAGATTTGTTGTTGCTTTGGGCGTGAGTCGCCGGGCGCGAGAGCGGCGCTGGACACGTTTTCGCAGAGGTCTTCTTCGGACGTCGTCGGGAGATAAAAACAAAACAAAAAAAACTGCATTCGTTTTCATTCTCGGAGGCGGCCCAGAAGTGCAGCCTTCAGTCTCCCGTAATGAATTCCAAGCGGAGGAGGCAGTGCGAGTGCAAAGCCGCTTCTTGGGATGGCGTCGTGCTCACAGACTGGGTCACACGTCTGCAGCGCGACCTCTCCTTCCACGCTCACGCCACAAGCGCCGCGCTGTGCGCAGGCACCTTCCGCCCCCCCCCACCGCCCACCACGTAGAGAAGCCGGTTTTGAAGAGAGGGGGCTCCAAGTGGTGAGCCAGAATATCTGAGGGACTGTGCGGAGTACGTGAAGATGGCACCTAGGGACAGGAATGAGTGGAGAAGTTTGACAGCAGTGGCAGACACCCCCACGGCGGTGGGCAAATACGCGATGAACTGATGCACCATCACGTCACCATCAATCTAGAGCTAATACGTACTCTACGTATGTTAAACTTCTTTCACGCCGTACGTAGCCAACCGCGCTGAATCGGAGTTGCGGGCGGCGGGGGTGGGGGGAGTACAAAAAATGAAACTCGCAAAAAGCGCTTCTAAGGACAATCGTGCCCCGTAACGTAACCAACCGTGCTAATCGGAGGTGCACCCACAAAGCTGTGCGACGCGGTGTTGTACCGCCGCCACCGCTGCTCCGTGACGACGGTGGTGCCGCGTGGACCCCCCCCCCCCCCCCCAGGGTGTGCTACGCGTGCCTCGTGGGACTGCTCTTCGTCATGAGGCTCGCGGGCGCCCAGGGGGAGTCCGTGCCCATGTCGCTGGCGCTGGTGCTCGGCTGGTGCTACACGCTGTTCTTCGCTCGCGGGATCGAGATGCTGGGCTCGTTCACCGTCATGATACAGAAGGTGCGACGTGAATCCCCAATATTCCGGTCGCGCGCTTTGTGCATTTCATCAGAGCTATGAAGCTTGTTCTCACAGATGTCCAATAGCAGAGGCGGGGAAACTATTCAACACTGAAGGCTGAATAGGACTTTCAAATATATTTGGCGGGCGATATATTAGCAAAGATAAACATTCCTCGTGTGGCCTATCACAGACTGTTGGGGCAAGTGCTGTTAGCGAACACCTATGACGGCATACTCTTAGTTCTTTCGGTAAAGTCACGTAGGTAAAAAATGAAATTGAAATTAATAAAAATAAAACAATAAAAAACAAAAAATCACGACGTTTCGGAGGCAACACAAGTCTCCGTCATCAGGTGGGACCATCACAGCTAGATTTGCTGCATCAAGTGAAGCAAGGATTCAAGATGTAAGCCCTTAAATGCAAGTTGAGGGGGGAGGAGAGGGGGGGGGGAGCTTATCAGAATGTGGTAGCCAATGAATGGAACGTATCGGGAGGGAGGGGGGCGGAGCTAAAGAAGGCACGAAGTGCTACGTAGAACGTATCGGGAGGGGGGAGGGGGCGGGGCCAAAATAATGCACGGAAGTGGTACACAAGAGCCGGTGACGTGGACGTGGTTGTGTGCAAGTAACTATTGTTGCACATGCTAACGTATTGGAAGGGGAGGGGGAGGAGGGGCTAAAAGAGGGTATGGGGTGCAAGTGTACGTGGACATGTGTATGTACAAGCACCTGTTGATACACATGATAGAAAAGAACGATAATGCCCATGTTTATACCAGTGTTGGCTGACAATAAAGAGAGTACTGTTAAACACTGGGGATGTTAACACTCGGTAAAGTAAAGTAAAATAGTGCCTGTCAGATAAGATGGTCCAAAAATGTGTAATTAAGTCTTTTTTGCGTGGTTGATAACATCTTTCCAATGATTACTAAGTTTGTACCCGTCATCACGGTTGAAATTATGTCTGTGTTTGTATATCTAAATGGTTCGTGTACAAACCTTTGATGGTAGCCAGAGGGTTTGCAGAGCACTTTAGTCTTGGAGAAAACAATCGCATGACAGCCCACCGCATTGTAGCAATGATCGGCAACGGCGGAAGACTCAATTTTGCCGTGTTTCAAATCTGATTTGTGCTTGCGGACACGATCAGAGACATGACGTTTCGTTTCCCCAATGTAACAGTCACCACAGCTGCAACTCAGTTTATAGACTCCAGGGTATTGCAAGTCAGGGATGACATCCTTCACAGATGGAATTAGATCACGGATTTTATGTACTGTACTGAATCGGACTTGGATCTTATGTTCGTTTCGAATTTTGGAGATCTTTTTGGTCACGCCTGCTATGTATGGTAACGTGACAGTTTTGATCGGAGTTTCAAGTGGCTGTTTCTGTATGGTGGGAAAAACAGCTTGGCGGATGGTGCGTTCAGAGTATCCGTTCATTCTGAGGGCCCGATGTACATGTCTCAATTTACTGGCCAGGTGGTGTTGGTCAGAAATGCCATGAGCTCTATGGTATAGCGTTTTGATGAGAGAATTCTTTTGAGATGAGTGGTGGTGGGAATCCGGTTTCAAGTAGGAATCTGTGTGGGTGGCTTTCCTATATACAGAATGTCCCTAGGATCCGTCAGGTCTCCTCTCAAACAGAATATCTAAGAAGAAAAAAAGACTGAATTACACATTTTTGGACCATCTTACCTGACAGGCACTATTTGACTTTACTTTACCGAGTGTTAACATCCCCAGTGTTTAACAGTACTCTCTTTATTGTCAGCCAACACTGGTATAAACATGGGCATTTTCGTTCTTTTCTATCATGTGTATCAACAGGTGCTTGTACATACACATGTCCACGTACACTTGCACCCCATACCCTCTTTTAGCCCCCCCTCCCCCTCCCCTTCCAATACGTTAGCATGTGCAACAATAGTTACTTGCACACAACCACGTCCACGTCAACCGGCTCTTGTGTACCACTTCGTGCCTTCTTTTAGCTCCGCCCCCCTCCCTCCCGATACGTTCCATTCATTGGTTACCACATTCTGATAAGCTCCCCCCCCTCTCATCCCCCCTCAACTTGCATTTAAGGGCTTACATCTTGAATCCTTGCTTCACTTGATGCAGCAAATCTGGCTGTGACGGTCCCACTTGGTGACGGAGACTTGTGTTGCCTCCGAAACGTCGTGATTTTTTGTTTTTTATTGTTTAATTTTTATTAATTTTAATTTCATTTTTTACCTACGTGACTTTACCGAAAGAACTAAGAGTATGAATCCTTGCAGTCACGAAAGCTTCAAATCTAGAACCTATGAAGGCCTGCACGGCGCACGAGGGGGTGGCTGGCCAGCACCACACCCGGCCAGCCTTGTCTCCCTAGTGGCCATGTTTACACACCACACCAGGTACTCAAATGAGGTTGAGTTGACCTGGGAGAGGCCCAGGACTGGCTCAGATAATCGTCACTGGCATTGGCCGTGAGTGGGAATAGAACTCGGGTCGCTCCACTACCGCTCACCACAGACACACAGACCTCAGTCACTCCAAGAGAGAGAGGCCTTTTGCAGCAACAGAAGTGGCCGAGCTTGTGGAATGTATGAAATTAATTCACAAGGTTAATTATGAACGTGAGCTTAAGGTTTCTGACCCCTGATTTTCAAGGCACAAAGCAAAGCCAACTTGTTAATTGGGTTCATTTTTATGTGTTTGTTTCATGTAAATAATAACAGTGTATGTATGTTGAACGTATTTCGCACCGTACGTAGCCAACCGTGCTATTCGAAGGACAGGACAGCCCTCGGTGAGGCTTTCTTAGGGGTGGCTGCGTTCAAAAGTCACGTTTGGCCAATCCCATTTATGGGCGGTCGATGAGAATTATTATAATCGATAGCGGTTCCGGTAACGGCACCACAAATGTATTCCACGTAACTTCTCAAGCCGTACGTTGCCAGCGAGCCCTGTGTCACCGTCCCCCATAGCCAGGCGCTGGCAGCCTGCCGCTCCGGAGCCACGGGCGGCTCATTAAGGGGCTGCAGTGCGGCTCCTTGAAATTCGAAAACAAAAATTGGCTGCTCGTCTTCTTTTGATTGTCGACCCCTGACCATGGAAATCCAGTTTACCATGGGAGTCCAGTTCACCATGGGAGTCCAGTTTACCATGGGAGTCCAGTTTACCATGGGAGTCTAGTTTGCCATGGAAGTCCAGTTTACCATGGGAGTCCAGTTTACCATGGGAGTCCAGTTTACAATTGGAGTGCAGTTTACCATGGAAGTCCAGTTTACCATGGGAGTCCAGTTTACCATGGGAGTCCAGTTTACCATGGGAGTCCAGTTTACCATGGGAGTCCAGTTTACAATGGGAGTCCAATTTATCATGGAAGTCCAGTTTACAATGGAAATTCAGTTCATCATGGAAGCCCAGTTTACCATGGGAGTCCAGTTTACCATGGGAGTCCAGTTTACCATGGGCAGGGGTTGGCAACCTGCGGCTCACTAAGGACTGTTTCATGACGTTGTTCATTTATCACCACCACCGTCTCGTGTTCGCCGCGTGCATTGGGGCTCTTCAAATATTGCGGGTTTTTTTTTACCGAATTAGAACAAAAAATGGCTCTTCATGTTACGTTTCGGTTGCCGAGCCCTGCCCATAAGCCGTGGCACTTTGGCCGGCGGGGGTAGTGACTGGTCACTTGACCACCTTGGCCTGCAAAAGCCAAATTGGTGGCTATGAGAAAAATATGGGTGACATAATCACAGGCGGTCTCCGTCTAAAGCGTTTGTATAATGCCACCGCGGATCGATTTACGACTCAGAGACTTGACTCACGACGCATCCTCCGACAACGACTCCGAACGCATTCGAACGGAGTCGGTTCTGGTTTCCGATGTGATCTGGTGTTGAGCTTTTGTGTTTTTTCCCGTGGATTTTCACCTCCTAAACCCTCTTGAATACGTTTTGCCAGTTGTCTACGGGAAAATAGGGTTTCATGTACGACAGATCTGACTTCGGATTTACGACGATTTGGTCTGTATTTGGTCTGTTGGCCATAATCTTCAAAGTATATATTTTTAATCTCACTCATGCCGGAAAGTTTGACTTCATTTTCTACAATCAGTGAAGGATTCCGCTTGTGTGTGTATGTGTGCGTCGCTCCCCCCTCTCGTACAGATGCTGTTCGGGGACGTGTTCCGGGTGTGCTGGCTCATGTTCATGGTCCTCATGGGCTTCACCTGCGGTAAAGACGTCGTCATTAAGTTACTTGGGAGACCTCACGGGGGACACAGCCGCGGAAATAAAAACCTAGCCCCAGCCCGGCCAAGTAAATGTAGAGAAAATAAGAATAGGTTTTACTCTTTCTGGCAATACAACACGTATTAGGATGTTCAAACACCATCAAGTCTGCATGCACCATACAGACTTGTGGTGAACATGCAAACAAACATGATCTAAAAATAATGTATGCATTTTTCTATTCTTGGGTCTTTCGGTAATGCCACATAGATAGATCAAATAATAATAAAAATATAAAAAATACAAATAAAAATTATCACGATGTTTCGATCGCAACACAAGCAATCGTCATAAGGTGAGAAATATCGCGAAGAGCTGCTGAGAATATATGGTGGGAGCGCTGCTAAGGCAGGGAGTTATAAAGGTTTGGGATGGGTGTAGCCCAAGGGTCAGTGGGAGGGGCTAGAGATTAAATTTGCATGTAAATGTGAGATCGGAGAAATCTTGACAAACGAAGCTGTGGGGGTGGCCATTGTATTGTGAGGGATTAGCATGTCAATGTAAGAGATTTGCTTGTAAATGTAAGCTCAGACAGAGCTCGGCAAGAGCATCGCCACATGGAGGTGGACAAGGATGGCAGGCCACCATTTACTAACACAGCTAAAGATGGCTGTGTTAGTGAATGTAACTCAGAGAGTCTAAAACATCTGCTAACATGGGTAGGTAGGAAGGGAACATCACAGCCAGTTATGACCTAAACTGGTCAATAACGTCCTTCCACTGATTGCTCAGTTTGTACCCATCTTCTCGGTTGAAATTGTGTCTGTGTTTATATATCTGGATGGCTTCATGAACGAATATGTGCTGATAGCCAGTGGGCTTGCAGAGTACCCTCGTCTTGGCAAAATCAAATTCGTGTATGCCCACAGCATTAAAATAATGATCAGCCACGGCTGAGGTATTAGTCCTCCCGTGTTTCAAATCTGCCTTATGTTCACGAACCCGATCCGAGACATGTCACTTAGTTTCCCCAATGTAACTGCTGCCGCAGACACAGCTTAGTTTGTAGACACCGGGGTATTGCATGTCAGGGATCACATCCTTCACACATGGGATAAAATCACGAATTTTATGTACTGTGTTGAATCGTACCTGGATCTTGTGTTTTCTCATGATTTTGGAAATATATTTGGTGACCCCTACTATGTATGGCAAGGTGATGGTTTTGATTAGGCCCTCAGATGGTTCTTTCCCAATGGTTGGGGTGATAGATTTACATATTGTGTAGTCTGAATACCCATTCTTCTTGAGGGCTTGGTGTACGTGTTCCAGTTCACTGACTAGGTAATGATGGTCGGAAATGGATCAAGCTCTATGGTGTAGAGTTTTGATGAGGGAATTATTCTGGGATGGATGGTGGTGGGAGTCAGGTTTTAGGTAGGCATCCGTATGGGTGGCTTTCCTGTAGAGCCATCAGGTCCCTTTTCTTATTAAAACATCTAAGAATGGTAACTTGCCATCCTTTTCCACCTCCATGGTGAATGTGATGGCTGGGTGTATGGAATTGATGTGGTTGAAGAAATGGCCCAGAGCTGGTAGGCCATGTGGCCAGATGACGAACGTGTCATCTACATATCTCTTCCACAAGGACGGACGTAGAGTGGATGCCTGGATGGCATCTGTCTCAAAATTTTCCATGAAAACATTGGCTACAACTGGAGATAAGGGAGAACCCATTGGGGTACCTTCAACTTGTTTGTAGAATGTTCCATTCTAGGTGAAGTAAGTGTTGGTGAAGCAGTGTCTAACCAGGGCCGGTACATCAGCATTCAGTCCTTGTTGGACCAAATCTTCAATGATTGCAATGGTGTCATACACAGTAACGTTGGTAAACAAAGATACCACATCGAAACTGACAAGCAAATCACCTGGAGATAGTGAGATGTCCTTAATTGAAGATATCAAGTGAGCTGAGTTAGGTACAGCTGAGGTAGTCTTATCAGTGAATGGTTGCAAGGTCTCAGACATAAATCGGGTCAGTTTGTAGGTGGGTGAGATAATGGTGGAGATGATCGGACGGAGTGGTGTACCTTCTTTATGGATTTTTGGTAAGCCATAAAATCTGGGTGGTCTAGCAGCAGAGGGTTTTAAGGAAAGCTGCTTGTTTGGTTCGATTAAAGATGTCGAATCAGTGATGATGATGTTGGTTTTCGTAACCAGGCAGTTGGTAGGATCTGTATTGATTTTGGTATAGCTGCCATCATTAAATAAGTCCTGAATTTTGTTATTGTATGTGGTTTTGTCCAAGATGACAGTGGCATTGCCCTTGTCGGCTGAGAGGATGATGATGTCATCTCTCTTTTTTAGTTGAGAAAGCTCAAGGGGCTCATCCTTGATGATGTTGCTAACAGGTGTGTTCGCGGTTTTGAGGATTGCAGCCATTTCCGATCTTGCCATGTCTGCAGGAATATGTCCCAAAACCCTTAACGTATGCATTGCCTTTGAAACTGATTGCCCTACACCAGAAACAGTCTTCTTTAGGGCCTAAGTGTCGCCAGCGGTGTTTCGGCCAGAGAACAACGGTAAAAGACAAACAGTACAGAGACAATGCAAGTATCGGCATGCTTATAGCTCGGGTCAATCAAAGTTATATCTGTGGGACCTTTTCTGGGTTTTTTTTCCTCCACCTCGAGTTCTCCTTCGTCCCACCAATCCACTTGTTGTGTGAATGGCCTCTCTACTTTTTGATCATTTTGCGCGTGAGCGCAAAGATCACTGAGTGGAATGTATTGGCCTCCGTAGGGCTTTTATGTAACCCCCACAAACCCAACGAAGTCTCATTTTCTGAGTTTGTGTAGATACACCCAGGAGCCTTCTCAGCAAGTTAATTTATGTTCCCAGTATATTTCTTCCAATCGAACTCAGCCACAAATGAGTACCTGGTGCGGTGCGTAAACATTGGCACTCGGGAAACAAAGGCGGTCGGGTGTTTTGCTGGCCACTCACCCCCTCGTGTGTCAAAGTGCAGGCCTTCATAGGTGCTCGCTAACAGCACTTGCCCCAACAGTCTGTTAAGGCTATACGGGGGATATTTGTCTTGCCTTTGTCTTGAATTTAAATACGTAGAGTAGAACTGCCATCACCCATAACTCATGGATGCAGATTTTGGTTGGCCTTGAGATTCCCTTCGCTTTGCAGATTTAGTTTTTGTGTCGGTAGCCTTGGGTTTTTGTTCCCGTTGGCAGTGTCAATACGAACCGGCACCACAATGCATACTTCTTTGTGACGAGTCAGAGCATGCCGTGTATATGTGTGTGCAATTTTCATGTATTTGCGAAAATCAAAACATAGGGCCTCCATTCACGTGTCTCACAAACCACATGTTGCACACTCGAAATGAAGGACGTGGGCAGGTGCTCCAAATCGAGGGCAAGCACATTTATTTATTGTAGGTTAATATTAATCTTGGGAAGAACAGTACCGTCACTCTGTAAAATGCAACAACATGTGTGTTACAACTAGTCTTGCTCCCGAGCCGCCATTAACCATGTGGCTGGTTTACACGAGCGGTTATTCATTAACCCTTTCTCTTAAACCCAATTCTACTACTGATAAACCATCCTTGTCTTTGACAATCACATTTGCACATCACTATTCGACTATTACTTTAATCCTAAGCTGTATGTCTATCTATACCATCCACTTATATCGGTATATTACACCCATTATATGTACTGTATGTGTACAGTATACGTACTGTATCTCACCATTGTACAGCTTACTACTTTACATGTGTTCTATTCTCAATAGCATTGCAAGTAGTCATACTCTGGGTACATGGGCATGGTTATAGACTAAACAGTATTAGAGTTAGAGAATTACAATGACAGTAACTAATTACAGTGTGTCATCCCTTTACAATGCACAGTGCTAAAACGCCTCTAATTGCATATATCACAAACGAACAATTCAAAGCCAAGCTTAAAGTCTAGAACAAGTCTAGAACAAGTCTAGAACATTTATATAACGATCAAAAACAACCTTTGGGTCCTTTACCTGTAAAATGCAACAACACGTGTGTTACAACCAGCCTTGCTCCCGAGCCGCCATTAACCATGTGACTCAGGGGCGGTTTCTTCATTAGGGCGATTGGGCGACGCACCACCAATGTCATTCAACCACAGAGTCACGCTAGCCGTCACTGCAGCCTCTGGATATAGTCCAATCAGCGTCATGTCACGTTCTGTGGAGTACCGCCTCTTTTTGGGCGATTTCACTCCGGCTGAGAAGCGCCCCGAGTGGCCCCATAGACTTACATTCAAAGATGTTTTTTTCGACCGGGGGGCGCTCCAATGCATTCTCTATGGCTTCCGGGAGGGCTTGCACTAACGTGCTTACGTCATCATACGTGCTTACGTCATCATACGTAAGCACGTTTCATCCAACAATATAATTTGTGGCCACCTAGTGGAATCTTTAATAAAATAAACTTGAGTGGTTTGTTTTAATAGTGAGTATAGAAACAAACAAGATGTATTGTAAGAGTCACTTTATTTTTCATTAATATTAAAGAAGTGAAGTTGCCTTTACATGCTTAAGCTGTTAATTTATCCATTGCATGGGTGGACCTTATCCTTATCAATCATCCAGACATTTGCCCCCCCTGAGAGATTTTGCAGGAGCCGCCACTGATGTGACTGGTATTTCCGCGTGGTCATTCAATAACCCTGCCAGCCACCTACAGGCCCGACTCAGTCATCACATGCTGCTGTACACACATGCATTGATGCACTGCACAGAACATCAGAACCACACTTTACTCCCTTGCTGCACAAGGACATAATTAAAAGAGTGATCCATTCCTAATGTGCCACACACACAAAAGTGTATCGTCGTGCTATGCCGCCCTCTCCCTGCCTGACACCCCCCCACCCCGCCTTGTCCCCACAGCATTCCACCTGACCTTTCAGACGATGAATCCTGAAAATTGGCCACAGTGGCAGAGCTTTGTCAGCGTGTGGTTCACCATGTTCCAGCTCTTTCTTGGCCTGCTCGACATTCCAATCAACTACGACCTCAACACGCCCGAGATCATCAAAATCCTTTACGTCTTCTACATGATTTTTGCCTTTCTGCTCATGATCAACCTGCTCATCGCCTCTATGGGAGACACCCACTGGCGAGTGGCACAGGAGCACGACGAGCTGTGGCGCACGCAGGTCAAACACGCGCGCGCCCACGCGTGCACACACACACACACGCAGCGCACGCGTACACACGCTCGTGTAAAGTACAAAAGTCCTTCCCCTCCCATTATAGCTGCATTCTGATGGGAAAGTGCTGTTGGCGAGCACAAATAAAAGGTGTTGGTGGAGCGTGAAAGGGCGGCGCGCGGCCCCGCCTGCCCAGTACGGAGATTTTTACACTTCCCACCAGTTACGCATTCGAGGCTCAGTTGATCTCGAAGAGGGCCAGAAATTGTTCAGGTAATCGCCACTGATGTTCGCCATGGCCAGGGACCGTTGGGTTCGTAGCACAGTGTGTGAACCACTTGTACCGCCACTCCACCACAAGCTGCGTTTAACACGCACACACACGTGTGCATATGCATCAACAGTCTGCACGATATAACAAACACAATTTACAACGCGTGTACATTTCGAAAATCGTGCGCATTATTCAATCGAGAACTCAAGAGGCATAGAGCAAGCCTGAACAGTTACTCATGAATAGGTTAGTCTGAACAGTTGAGCCTGTATAAGTTAAAGTCTTGGACTGCTGCTTGAATATGGGGCGCCACGGTGGCGAGATGTTAACTACCTCGCCTGGTATACATGAGGTCATGGTCTTAGATCTCGACCCTAACGCCAGCTTTATATTTGGAGCTTGCATGTTCTCCCGGTGGTCACGTGGATATTTCTCTAGGTCCTCCAGTTTTTGCCTCCACATTTAGAAACACGCGTTTAAAATATATAGCTGCTATAAATGTCCACACGATGACCTACTTCGTTGAGCTGTCATTTGTGATGACCAGGTCACTTCGGAAAAAGAGCTACGCAGCTCATTGGGGCCTTACCTGGTAAAATATAAAAATGTAAAAGTTTGTTAAGTTTAGGATGACGGTGCTTGGATGCTACACATGTGCAGTAGTGGGAGAGAGTTACAGACGGCTACCGGTGCAGTTACGGAGAGACTCCGCTCAGCCTGGTTCTGGGTGCGATGAGCAGATTGTTACACGTGCTCCTGAGGGCGCGGAGTGAGAATAGTGGAGAGGTATGGGGGGGGGAGACCTTGAAATAGAGCTCATATGGGGGAATTTGCTTTGGGTATAAGTGATGCAGAGGGGACTTGCATCAGCTATGCTTTCTTTCCCATCCGGAGGATTGGCTCATGTAAGGTTTTTTTTTCGGTACGACAATGACAACAGGTGGCGGCCAGCACGATCCTGCTGGAGAGGCGGATGCCTCGCGCTCTGTGGCCCAGAATCGGCTGGTTCGGAGGAGGCTACGACCTGGATAAGCGCTGGTTCCTCCGGTGCGATACCCTCACCACTCACCGGGTCCACCCCACTGCCACACACCGACGGCACCCGCGCACGCGCAATTTTCACCTGAACAATTAAATGTTTTGTCGTTTGCTGCTCCATCCCATCTTGCCGATCAGTGCCTAGCAGCTTCAACAGACCCAAATCGACTCCGATCCGCGGCTCGCGGCGACCTCCCGCTGCGACCGCCGCGTGTAAACCTCGCGCGCGATACGGCCGGCGCAGTTTCGGGGGTCTCCGGCCCAAAGGCCTGGAACACTGCTACCGAGCTCACGTTCGAGATCCATCGCCGAGTCTGAGCCAATTCTGCAACGGACTCAAAACGGCGCTGTTGCTTCAAAGAGCCTACTTCAGTGTACGATCGGTGCGCATTCGCGATTTACTGGACTAGTCATGACCAATGTTCCGACATACTTCCGTGTCACGCCAAGTGCCGCGGCTGCTTCGTTCCGCGGAGTCTTTTTTGCGCACGAGTGCCATGGAGAGGAGCGTACGCGAAGAGCCAAAACAAAGCTGCCGTGGGCCTTCACCGGCCCGCGGCAGACGCACAAATCTGGCTCCGTGGCGGAGCTGACCGGTGTGCCGTCCGTTCACAGGATAGAAGAATGCAGCGACAACGCCATGCACAACATCAAGAGCTACACGAGCCGCAATCAAAAATCGAAGCCAAAGGGCGGCAAAGGCGCCGCGGAGGCGGAGGGGCCCGAGGAGGAGTATGGGAGCGACAACTACACGTACAGCCCCGCCAAGCAGGAGCCGCAGCAGCTGCAGCTGCTAATGGTGCCGCCCTCCATCTTCGCCGGCCGCTCGTCAGGCCGCGGCTGGCAGATCCTGCGAGAAACCGTGTTCCGCAACCGGCGCTCAAACTCGCAAACGTCGCAGGACCAGGCCCCCGAGGTCGTCTACCAGATCTGAATGCGGCCGCGCCTAACCCAGCGGCACGCGCCACAGTTTTGACGCAGGAGGGGGCTTTGTTCTTGTTTCTTCTCTCGACTTGGCAGATCTGTGGGTTCCAGTTTTGTGCCAAGGGGAATGAAGTGTGAGGTAATCGCACCGATTTTTTTACAAAAAAAAGCAATCCCACACTTGTAGTGCAAGGCGACGATTTCGACCGGACGGCTTTGGACCAATTCGATGGCCACTTCTAATTTAAATACCGTAGCTACTATTGTTAAATAAAATAGAACCCTTCCTGAGACCAGCTACAATTTTTCAAGTATTTCAGGCACGAGCCCCCTCCCCCCCCCCCCCCCTGCTGATCACAAAACAAAGCAAGCGGCTTCCAGAATCAGCATCAGAATCTGTATTTATACTGAAAAAATCCGATGAGCTCTAAAGCTCTTTGTCCATAGACGTTCAGTAGAGGCGGGTAACTTTTGTGCCACGCGGCGCAGTGAACGCGCTGGGGGCCACGAGGCAGCGGAACCTCGCCAGGCGACGTCGCTCGGCGTTGCTGGCATTCAAGCAAAACGCCGGTCACGCTTAGCCCGTAGGATCGCTCGCTTGCTCGTACGCAGGCAATGAATTTGGCGCCTGCTGCATCCAACCAGCATCTCTTTTGCAATCGCCACTGAGTGGGCTCAAAAACTATTCCGGCCAGCGATCACTGAGCGAGGCGGTTGGAGCAGTTTTTGGTGCATCTCGCCATCTGAACCCGACAACAAACAAGATAAAGCTCCCAAAGTTCGATTGCCAGCCGTGGCTAATGTCAGTTGGTGGGTGGAATATCTGAACCCGGTCCTGAGCGCCAACACCCCCCCCCCCAACACCGACAGGAATGGTGAAGCATGGTCAAATAATCCCTTGTGACTGATGCATTTAGGGGGGGGGGGAGGCCTTGAGCCAGCGGTGGATAGAACATGACTGTACAATGTAATGTCACTGTATTATAAGGTGAAATGCCGACTTTTGTAACTAGGAACAAGAGGCTGTCTCTGCGATGGAGGCAGCTCGACGGCTTAAGGGGCGATGTAAACTCTCTGATGGGTTTGACAAGCCCCTCTGATGTTCCAGTGTTGTCGCTGCCAAGTGCAGGAGCATTGAGGTTTGGCCTGGCAGATGAAAGGCCTCCAAATAAATTCCTGCAATTCAAGAAAAATCCTGAATCAATGTGAAATTAACTCATCTGTACTGCGGGGCCCTGTCTGTACTGCGGGGCCGTCTGTAGTGCGGGCCCTGCCTGTACTGTGGGCCCTGTCTGTACTGTGGGGCCCTGCCTGTACTGTGGGCCCTGTCTGTACTGTGGGCCCTGTCTGTACTGTGGGCCCTGTCTGTACTGTGGGCCCTGTCTGTACTGCGGGGCCCTGTCTGTACTGCGGGGCCCTGTCTGTACTGTGGGCCCTGTCTGTACTGCGGGGCCCTGTCTGTACTGCGGGGCCCTGTCTGTACTGTGGGCCCTGTCTGTACTGTGGGCCCTGTCTGTACTGTGGGCCCTGTCTGTACTGTGGGCCCTGTCTGTACTGCGGGGCCCTGTCTGTACTGTGGGCCCTGTCTGTACTGTGGGCCCTGTCTGTACTGCGGGCCCTGTCTGTACTGTGGGCCCTGTCTGTACTGTGGGGCCCTGCCTGTACTGTGGGGCCCTGTCTCTACTGTGGGCCCTGTCTGTACTGTGGGCCCTGTCTGTACTGTGGGGCCCTGTCTGTACTGTGGGCCCTGTCTGTACTATGGGGCCTGCCTGTACTGCGGGCCCTGTCTGTACTGCGGGGCCCTGTCTGTACTGTGGGGCCCTGTCTGTACTGTGGGGCCCTGTCTGTACTGTGCTGTACTGTGGGGCCCTGCCTGTACTGTGGGCCCTGTCTGTACTGCGGGGCCCTGTCTGTACTGTGGGCTCTGTCTGTACTGTGGGGCCCTGTCTCTACTGTGGGCCCTGTCTGTACTGCGGGGCCGTCTGTAGTGCGGGGCCCTGTCTGTACTGTGGGGCCCTGTCTGTACTGTGGGCCCTGTCTGTACTGTGGGTCCTGTCTATACTGTGGGCCCTGTCTGTACTGTGGGCCCTGTCTGTACTGTGGGCCCTGTCTGTACTGCGGGCCCTGTCTGTACTGTGGGCCCTGTCTGTACTGCGGGCCCTGTCTGTACTGTGGGCCCTGTCTGTACTGCGGGGCCCTGTCTGTACTGCGGGGCCCTGTCTGTACTGTGGGCCCTGTCTGTACTGCGGGGCCCTGTCTGTACTGCGGGGCCCTGTCTGTACTGTGGGCCCTGTCTGTACTGCGGGCCCTGTCTGTACTGTGGGGCCCTGTCTGTACTGTGGGGCCCTGTCTGTACTGTGCTGTACTGTGGGGCCCTGCCTGTACTGTGGGCCCTGTCTGTACTGCGGGGCCCTGTCTGTACTGTGGGCCCTGTCTGTACTGTGGGCCCTGTCTGTACTGTGGGCCCTGTCTGTACTGTGGGCCCTGTCTGTACTGCGGGGCCCTGTCTGTACTGCGGGGCCCTGTCTGTACTGTGGGCCCTGTCTGTACTGCGGGGCCCTGTCTGTACTGCGGGGCCCTGTCTGTACTGTGGGCCCTGTCTGTACTGTGGGCCCTGTCTGTACTGTGGGCCCTGTCTGTACTGTGGGCCCTGTCTGTACTGCGGGGCCCTGTCTGTACTGTGGGCCCTGTCTGTACTGTGGGCCCTGTCTGTACTGCGGGCCCTGTCTGTACTGTGGGCCCTGTCTGTACTGTGGGGCCCTGCCTGTACTGTGGGGCCCTGTCTCTACTGTGGGCCCTGTCTGTACTGTGGGCCCTGTCTGTACTGTGGGGCCCTGTCTGTACTGTGGGCCCTGTCTGTACTATGGGGCCTGCCTGTACTGCGGGCCCTGTCTGTACTGCGGGGCCCTGTCTGTACTGTGGGGCCCTGTCTGTACTGTGGGGCCCTGTCTGTACTGTGCTGTACTGTGGGGCCCTGCCTGTACTGTGGGCCCTGTCTGTACTGCGGGGCCCTGTCTGTACTGTGGGCTCTGTCTGTACTGTGGGGCCCTGTCTCTACTGTGGGCCCTGTCTGTACTGCGGGGCCGTCTGTAGTGCGGGGCCCTGTCTGTACTGTGGGGCCCTGTCTGTACTGTGGGCCCTGTCTGTACTGTGGGTCCTGTCTATACTGTGGGCCCTGTCTGTACTGTGGGCCCTGTCTGTACTGTGGGCCCTGTCTGTACTGCGGGCCCTGTCTGTACTGTGGGCCCTGTCTGTACTGCGGGCCCTGTCTGTACTGTGGGTCCTGTCTGTACTGTGGGCCCTGTCTGTACTGCGGGCCCTGTCTGTACTGTGGGCCCTGTCTGTACTGTGGGGCCTGTCTGTACTGTGGGTCCTGTCTGTACTGTGGGCCCTGTCTGTAGTGCGGGCCCTGTCTGTACTGCGGGCCCTGTCTGTAGTGCGGGGCCTGTCTGTACTGTGGGCCCTGTCTGTACTGCGGGGCCTGTCTGTACTGTGGGCCCTGTCTGTACTGTGGGGCCCTGTCTGTACTGTGGGCCCTGTCTGTACTATGGGGCCTGCCTGTACTGCGGGCCCTGTCTGTACTGTGGGGCCCTGTCTGTACTGTGGGGCCCTGTCTGTACTGTGCTGTACTGTGGGGCCCTGCCTGTACTGTGGGCCCTGTCTGTACTGCGGGGCCCTGTCTGTACTGTGGGCCCTGTCTGTACTGTGGGGCCCTGTCTCTACTGTGGGCCCTGTCTGTACTGCGGGGCCGTCTGTAGTGCGGGGCCCTGTCTGTACTGTGGGGCCCTGTCTGTACTGTGGGCCCTGTCTGTACTGTGGGTCCTGTCTGTACTGTGGGCCCTGTCTGTACTGTGGGCCCTGTCTGTACTGTGGGCCCTGTCTGTACTGCGGGCCCTGTCTGTACTGCGGGCCCTGTCTGTACTGTGGGTCCTGTCTGTACTGTGGGCCCTGTCTGTACTGCGGGCCCTGTCTGTACTGTGGGCCCTGTCTGTACTGTGGGGCCTGTCTGTACTGTGGGTCCTGTCTGTACTGTGGGCCCTGTCTGTACTGCGGGCCCTGTCTGTACTGTGGGCCCTGTCTGTACTGTGGGCCCTGTCTGTACTGTGGGCCCTGTCTGTACTGTGGGGCCCTGTCTGTACTGCGGGGCCGTCTGTAGTGCGGGGCCCTGTCTGTACTGTGGGCCCTGTCTGTAGTGCGGGCCCTGTCTGTACTGCGGGCCCTGTCTGTAGTGCGGGGCCTGTCTGTACTGTGGGCCCTGTCTGTACTGCGGGGCCTGTCTGTACTGTGGGCCCTGTCTGTACTGCGGGGCCTGTCTGTAATGTGGGGCCCTGTCTGTACTGCGGGGCCTGTCTGTACTGCGGGCCCTGTCTGTACTGTGGGCCCTGTCTGTACTGTGGGGCCCTGTCTGTACTGCGGGGCCCTGTCTGTACTGCGGGGTCCTGTCTCCACTGTGGGGCCCTGTCTGTACTGCGAGGCCCTGTCTGTACTGTGATGACAAACAACCTATTGCAATTAAAGGTAATCCCTTTAATCAATGCTGTGATCCACATTACACGCATCTATGGCCTGCGAGCACGAGAGACTGAGATTTCCAGGATGTGTTGTATACTCTATCCACGTGTTATCAATGGTGCTGTACCGACAAGTGTGTTTGTCGAATTGCGCGTACACACGCTGTGTGCCTGACATCTTTAGGAAAAAAATAAAGTTGTTTTAAAAAGGCCCCCGAGCGAGTCCTTGGCTTCAACTTCATCTCGAGATGACATCTGGTACACAGGAGGGCGTGGGTTCCATCCAGACCCGACGAGTTCGCGTGTGTCTTCTCTCTCTCACCGTGGTAGTCGCATTGATTTTTGTCACAGATAAATAAAAAAATACGGATAATTATTTTTTTTTATATTAAACGATAAAAACGTGTTATGCATAATGGAGGTTTTTGGGTTACATTGCGTAAATATAAATGTGTCGTTAAACCCGCCACCACCCGACAGCCAATTAGTAAGGTTTGTGTTGCACACTCGAGATGAAGGACGCGGGCAGGTGCTCCAAATCGAGGGCAAGCACATTTATTTATTGTGGTTCATATGAATCTTGGGAAGAACAGCACCGTCACTCTGTAAAATGCAACAGCGCGTGTTACACACAGCAAATCTTCCGAGACGCCATTAACCATGTGGCTGGTTTACACGTGCCTGCCAGCCACCTACAGGCCCGACTCAGACATTACATGCTGCTGTACACACATGCATTGATGCATTGCACAACACATCAGGACTTTCACAGAACCACACTTTACTCCCTTGCTGCACAAGGACACACTTAAAAGAGTGATCCATTCCTAATGTGCCACATTTGTCACATCGAAAACACAAGCCAATGTGCTCGTAACGAATTGCCACGCTCGTTTTGTTTACCAATTGACTGTGTCGGGTGGTGGAGGGTTAAACGACGCATTTATATGTATGCAATGTAACCTAAAAAGCTCTATTATGGATAATATTGGTGGCGAAAGCCTACGTGTTAAATAAAAAAAAGCATGTTATTGTGTACGTATGTAGAATGGGAGTGTAGACACAGAATGTTTGTGTTTTTAAGATTCTTAAAGTAATAGAGTCGTGAGTTACAAGCAGCTAATGGTAGAAGCTCGCATTAGCAGGATTACATCAAAGTACATTTACTGTATATGAATTTTTCACAAACACGGTTACTTCACAACCTGGATACGCAGCTCAAAGATAACCCAGCGTTAATTATATTTGGCTTCCCATGAAGTTGCACTTGTTTTTAATCAGACTGAAAATCTGCTTATATTCCAAGCAGTGACTTACAAACATTGCTCAAAGCCACTCACTGCAACTCCTTTAACTGTACAACAACAGCAGCAGCCAGCTGCCACGAAATAACGGCGACGTCACCGCAGCACTTGTGCCAGGCTAGGTGCGCTTTGAGGCCACGTGAAGCGTCGAAGGCTCGCTTGAGAGGTCACAGGGCAGACCCAGATGTCGTGGGCTAGCTGGCCAGAGATGATTAACAGGTGCACCACCTGTACCAATTAGTGTCAACTCGCTGCGTTTTTGCCGCCAGGCCAAATTGTCAGCCACACTGCCACTCGCACCCACCTGCACCCCATCACCCACTCCCATGGCCCCATTTAATTTTGCCCTTTGAACATTGAGCCACATTCCAGCGATTCTACGATGACTACGACCTCTCTCAATGACAAGCCATCCTGCCGAATTCCGACGACTGCCTATATGAATGAATGATGCCGTAAAACACTTCCTGAATTAATAACACCGTAAAATATCCGCGAAAATTCCAGTCCCC